GGGACAGGAATTGGCAAAGTTTTGTAATAGCCGCCAAGATGACTGGGATGTCTTACTCCCTCCACTGTTGATGGCCTATAAGATAGCAGAGCATGAAACCACTGGATACACTCCAGCAAAGTTGATGTTTGGTCGGAAACTTCAGTTGCCAGTGGATCTGTTAACAGGACGCCCACCTTATGAAGAGTTGCCTGAAAATGTGTCAGAATTCGTGAAAGTGTTATCGGAAAGGATGGATAATATTCACCATCAAGTGCATTCAAACTTCAAAACGTCTGGTGATTCGATGAAGTTATGTTATGATAAGAGATCTACTGAAGTCAGCTTTTAACCCTGTAGACTTCTGACTGATTTTGGGTTCCGTATATGAGTTCTAGAGCCGCTACCAGTGCTCTATAGTTGTGCCTATCATCTGCTGACAACTGTCCAAGTATTTCCAGTGGTTGCCCCTTCAAGCTCGTTGCCAGATATACTGCTTTCTGCTCCTTTGTCCATTTGTTCATCTCTGACAGTAGCTCAAATTGTGCTCTATACGCTTCCCACAGTGCTCTCCCATCGTATTCCTGTGGTTTCCTTCGTAGTGGATCACTCCTAGTACTGACATTCATATCTGGGATGTGACTTCTAACAGGACTGAAGATGTCTGTATTAGGGTTTAGCTGCAGGCTCTGGAAGGGGCTTGTCATTGTCTGGGGCTGGTTAAGTCGATGGCTAATGCATCCTCCTTGTGTGAAAGACAATAAACCATCCTTTAATGTACCTAATTCGCTTTTAAATTGACTAATGTTTTCCATTTGTACTTCTTGTTTCCTTTCTTGTTCCAGTTGCCACTGTTTTAGTCTCTCTTCTTGTTTCTTTTCTCGTTCTTCTTGTTTATTTTTTTCTCCTCTAACAACTGCTGTAATTTCTCTTCTTGTTCATTTTCTTTCTCCTCCAACAACTGCTGTAGTCTCTCTTCTTGTTTCTTTTCTTTTTCCTCCAACAACAGCTGTAATCTATCTTGTTCATTTTGCTGTTCGAGCTGCCATTGTTGGAGAGATTACAACAGTTGTTGGAGGAAAAAGAAAAGAAACGAGAAGAGAAATTACAGCAGTTGTTGGAGGAAAAAGAAAATAAACAAAAAGAACGAGAAAATAAACAAGAAAAGAAACAAGAAGAGAGACAACAGCAGTTGCAAGAAAACCTGCAACAGTGGCAGCTCGAACAACAAAATAAACAAGAAGAGAGATTACAGCATTTGTTAGAGGGAAAAGAAAAGAAACAAGAAGAACGAGAAAAGAAACAAGAAGAAAGATTACAGCAGTGGCAAGAAAACCTTCTATGTTTTTAATGTGCATCAGTCAGTTCGCCTTAAGAAGTCTCAACAGAAGAAATTGAACGCCGAAGCCTGGCAAACTATAGTACAACAGTAGAGTTAAAACCTTACTCAATAAATGTAAAACTTTTTTGTTACGCCTCCGGTCGTTAGTTAATTTTCCGTAAAAATTCTTTCCGAAGAAACTTTAGCGATACAAGTCCTTTCTTAAATAAAACTGATTTATTCTTTCTGAATACAACTTTGCAATACACTTAATTTCCACAGTCGCGCTATAACAAAAGCTATAATTTACAACGAACGTCTCACGTGCTCGACTCATCAATACGTCTCTCTGTCCGCAGTTCAATTACACATTACATAACATTGTTGCCGTCAGTTTTTACCGGTTTATATATTCAAGACTACCGCATATCTAGTAGGCTCTCGAGATTTCAGGAAGGGACAGAATCCTTCTAGAAGTTCCTGACGTGTTACTAGCGTCATGTGACTTCCGCTGTCGTAACATGGACGTTTAACAACAAGAAGAGAACTGTGTAGTTTTTAAGATACAACTATAATCTCCATAGTGTAAATAATTTTGTACATACGTTTTACTTGTTTCGAATACATATATTATTTTAAAAACAAGTGGAGTACATCCTGCTCGCGTATTGTCGAATTTATCACCAACAAGTCACAAACATTTACTGTAAAAGATTCCTTAACCCAACACATTCATATATTTACATTACTATATATACTATTAAAATGTAAGTTCCCGACAAGGTGTTTAATTGATTTGTGAAACATGATAGATTGTATATTATTGTCATTTTCGATCATTAAGATAACTCAAGAAAATATGTACTCCTGTTGTCATTCGAATGATTCAGGGTGGATGGGATGTTGGGGGTCTATGGAACTGAGAAATTTGATTAAAGAAACAAAGCCATAGTTCCACAGACGAAACACATCATCAGTATATCTAAGCCAGAGATCAGAGCCAGTGTTGATATCTTGATGCCATTTGTCAAATGCCGTTGTTTCAAAAACATACGTAAATATTACAGCATACATTACAGCTACTCAATTACCCATTGTGACATCACTTAGTTGAAGATATAGTTTATTGTCAAAACGAGAATATCAGTTACGAAGAATAAAATGTAAGATTTATCTGATAGTGTCTACTGTTAATCCCTACCTCTCCAAATTGTTTGTGTGCTTTGACATGAAGTCACACATGCATTATTGCTATCTTCTGTCTGTATATATGGTAGAGAGCTACAATGTCCAATGTAAAAAATATTGTTGTGTTCATGAGATACATCCTTAATTTGAAACAGCAGGTCTTGTAAGTTTTCCAAGTGTGCTGGAACACAATTTAGTAAGGACACTAAAATAGTATTGTTACGTCTCCGTTTGTTAATTGATTTTTCCGTAACTTCGTTCCAACGAAACTTTAACGACACAAGTCTTTACTTAATAAAACTGGTTTATTCTTTCCGAATATAACTTAACCGATACACTCAACTTCAACAATCGCGCTAAACAAACGCTATAGCAACGAACGTCAATAATACTCTGACCGCAGATCAATTACTCACTATCTACCCAGACACGTTACATTCCCCTCTTATATATATCCGCCTACCCTATATCTAGTAAGAAATCCTGTACTTTGGCGAATGTTCTAGAATTCAAGAAAGGAGAGAGCGTGAGAATCACATGATCTCGATGACGCAACAGTATGCTTTAGCCAAGACAGAGTTTCAGTGGCACTGCCATATGTCGAAACTATGGATCGTTGTGTCATATCCGGTTTATGTTATTTTGGTAACCCATATAATTTTGTAATGTGGCTAATAGAGGGTTTAAATTCATCTAGAAGTTTCTTAGTGAGGTTAGTTGCTTTTGTAAGCTCAGAAATAGTCTCTTTTGCTTTCTTCTCAATTTTTTCAGTGGGGTCACTATTAAGTATATGAAATATATTCTTATCTTTTAGGGGATTAATTATTTTTTGTTAGTAAATATTTCTGCTCATAACTACAAACCCTTCTAATTTGTCAAATTCTTTGATGATGATGTCATTATTTTAAAGTTTTTTAATGGCTAGTTTTTCTTAGGGATGTAAATTATGTTTATTGTTTATTTTCTATGCAAGGTGTGTTGAAAATATAGGAGAACTGACATTTTTTGTTAGCCACTACTAGTATGAAATAGCTAATAATTAGTGTAATCACTGAAGTACTAGTAGAAGATCTAGGGGTGAAGCTCACACGCCCTAATTTTTTATATTTAAAATGTTATATTACGTAAAGGAGTCTTAAGTTGAGAAAGTAGTTAAAGAAATCTAGATTTTTTTGTTTGCCATTAAAACCAAGTTGCACTGGAGCACATCATTTTCTTGAAAGTGTTCTGCAGTAACTGCATTATATTCCATTGCCACCACTTCTCGTCATTACAGACCATGGTTCCTAACCTAGTTTTTTATTAGGTCTAGTCCTAGAAGCGCGCGTACTGCAGAACTACGATTTGCTGATTCTACGTTTTTTAAGGGCAAGTGGATAGGGCCTATGACTACCCCGAACAAACCGTATTTTGTGGCCAAGGAAATGCTAAAAATCACTCTTTTAGGCCTGTTGGTCCTAGTCTGTAATGAACTCGTGAAGGTAAGACCAACTAAAAAAAAAAAAAAGAAACGCCGGGGGCGGGGTTAAAAAAGTCTACGTTCAAACTTATTAATACTAGTAATAAGCCTAAATCGCTGTTTACAACAACAAAGTATGCCTACCAGTTCAGCAACTTATAATGTTAAGGCTTAACATATTCATTCAAACTCGAAAGTGCTTTATCTTGCTTCTAATGAAAGTAATTTTTGTTTGTTTCAGCGCAAAACTACACAGTGGGCTGTCTGCAATATTTCCAATATATGAAATCGAACCCCGAATTTAGCGCTGTAAGTCTAAAATTATTACTTACACAGGGGAGGGATAAATTTAAATTATGGTAAACTCAAATTAACAACCGTGCGGCAACAGACGATTTTCGGCTAGTACTATTACTACTAGATGACGTATGTTAATAAGCTGAACACACTCAAACGTTGTTCCTACAGATTGCTATAATTTATCTATTTTTCATAGTTTGAATTTAACCATTGTAAGATATATGAATGTATTCAACATGGATACTTTGAAAATATAAATCTCGGTAAGATCTCGAAATCGCGCCGAACAGAAAAACAAGATGGAGCAGACCGTTGAGCCCAAGAAGTCTTGTTTTAATCAAGCATGTGCAAAGATTTGAAATGATATACAAGCTTATGTGTAGAACTAGGACGAAATTCGTTCATTATTACAGATTTAATTGAAAATGCGTTAAAACAAAATGTCAAAGAAAGAATTTGTATTGCATTTCTTAAAAACTTTAGTTAAAAGATGTAAAAACGGCTCATATATTGTAAATGTACATTAAATTGAATGTTTTATTTTAATTTTAATTATTTCAGACATGTAAGTTTCATTGTAACAATAACAAAATATAATGGCTGAGGCATAATGAAATCGGAATATTGGGGATTTTATATATTGTCTGTTTGGAAATCCTGATGTTTTAATACACCTGTTTCATTGTGGTAGGAGTAATAATAGAATAGCAAGCTTCAAAAAGATATATATACTATATAGTGACACATCGGTGGAAATATGGAAATGTTGAAAAACGTGAATATGAAAATCGAACCCATTCCAAATGAGAAGAATGTTTTGTCTGAAGTCAAGTTTGTGAAAAATGAAAAAGGAAGAAGAAAAACGTCACCTTGTAGTAAGTTATACTTATAGTATAAAGTAACATGTAAATATTGTAGCTGTATTTATATATGCATGTTTTATTAACTTTAGTTTATATTTTGAAACTTTAAGTCTATGTGATATTTAATACTTTTTTGTGATGTAAGACTACCAAGAGCAACTTAACCAGAAGCTTAGGAGTGTCTTATCATTTGTTCTGCATGCATAGCTTTGTGAAACTTTGTAACATGACACTAATAATATGTACAAAAGATTTCCTTTATTGTGTTGATTGACATTAGTTGTATTGTAACATAAAATTTAAGGATACAGAGGAACCAGTTGGTCCATCTAGGCTGTCCCACCCACTAAACTAAACTTTAATATAAAACTGAACAATTATAACCTGCCCTTATCATTCAAATATTTATCATGCTTTCCCTTAATAAACTCCCTTAAATTTATTACATCTGCCACATCTGAAGGCAACCCATTTCAAAGGCAACAACCCTGTCAGAAAAATAAAACTCTTAGTTTAAAATGACTCCTACCCTTCTAAAAGTTATATCTGGCCCCCTAGTTCTGCCATTCTCACCATAAAGATGACCCTTCAACACTGTCAATTTCACTAACAATCTTAAACATCTCAATCAGGTTCCCTCTAACTCAACTTTTTTCAAGAGAAAACAGTTTAGGAAATTTTAACCTGTCCTGGTCTGACAACCTTTCCATCCTAGTAGCCATCCTCTGAATCCTTTCAAACAACTCAATATCATTACTAAGGTAAGTAGCCCAAGAATGAACACAGTACTCTCAAACGTGACCTAGCCAGTGAGCTATACAATGAAATTATAACCTATTTGTAATCGTTATTTCTGTAGATACAAACTAAAATCCTATTTCCCCCTGCTGCTGTCAACAGCACAATGCTTTGATGGCTTAAAAACTTTAGTTTTTAAGTTTTGTGCAAAGACAGTCATGTTGATCAGTTATGATGAGTTGTACTGCAATGACTGTTTATGTTTACAAATTTTTCAACTCTTCCAGTACATTCAGCTACAATTCTTCTGAAAATTATCTCAGTATATATTACCTGATGGTGCTATTACTGGAGAAACCATCACTATGATATACAAAATATTAGTGAAATGTACAATTTCCTGTTTTCTTGAAATGTGTAATACATGGAAGAATTGCCTGGGTTATAGCCCTCATAAGTTATCTTCAATCAAAGGCCAATGGTCTTAGCTTAAATTTTGATTTCAATTTTTTTAAAGATAATTAAGTTCAAATCAATTAAGTACAATTTACGTACTTGTATTTAAATTGCAGTTATATACTACTGCATATATCTCTTACCTACACACCCCTCTCTACAAAAATATAATTAAATATATCCAAGTGTTGACTCACTGAAATCTCACCCAGCCAATAATTTACATCTTTTGCTACTATGTGCAACAGTGCAAATACTATTCATAACCATTTTTTAGTCTATTTTAATATATACAAAGGTTGGTATATCTGTACAATACTAAGAACCCAGGAATGAAAGCAAAGGAGTAAAGGCTATACCAAGTTCTGATGAGGCTTGTTGATAATACCAAGCTCTTCAGGCCATCTTCAGTATGACAGATGTAATAGTTATGTAGATGCTACATATATAAATTTTCATGGAAAACAACTGTTAGGATGTGAATCAGATTAAGCAAGTGAATTATAATTATTATCAATTTTATATAAGTAATTTACAAATCAGGTTTGTATGGTATGAATTAATAGCACAACATTATTAATTTGTTTAACACTGATTGTTTATTTTATATTATTATTTTCTGTATTTAATTATTATTGTATAAAGAAAATGTTTCATTTCACATTGACAACTTGTTATAATCTAGTGATACATAGAAGTCATGTTCATATGTTTTGTTACAAAAATATTTAATTTACACCTCTAGTGACAAGAGAAGCTGCTCTCCCAGAAGAAGGATCTTCATTTACAATCTTTGATTTCAAATTAAAAAAAGAAAAGTTTGATGAAGTATCTAAGGAACTTGAGGTAGTCTGTAGATTAAAAACTTTTTATAATTCTCTTAATAGGGCAAAATAGGTAGATATTTTATATACCATTTGTGTAGTATTGAAGCTGTATATCTCGATAGATTTCATAAGCTTACAGTTTAGGTTTTTGAATAAGCAACAGTAAAAATAAAAATCTCTACAGCTGTGAAAGTTTGTAAACTTTCTACTCTATTTAATCTGATTGTGGACAATATTGTTTTTTCATCCCACTTCATTTCATTTTTGACATAAATACTTTAGATGCTTTACTGGATGAATCATAATACATTTGTGTCTTGCTAATTTCAAACTATGTGTACTTAAAATGTATATTACTTATTTTTGAAGTATTGTAATAAATTTTACCTTTAATAAAAAGTAATGTTATCATGTCAAATACATTTACCAGTACACTATTTACTGATATTTCTGTGTTCTTTATCTATAGCATTAGATAATAGTGATCTTTCCTCTGTTTTAGAAAACATTTATCAAAACTGAGCAAATTGGTGATTCAACAAGGAATGGCATTATTTCCAAGTTCTGTGAGAATGTTGATGAAGTTCTTGATTGTTCACAACATGATGTTATTAGTTTAAAAAAGGAAAATGAACCAAAAGAAGAAGTCCATCAAGTTAATTCTGGGTTAAAAGTCTTATCAGGTAAATATAACTAAGCACTAAACACTAGATACTAGTTAGTATCTTTTTTTTTTGGTAAAACTTTTTATTTTATCTGTTATTTTCTCTACCCTAACACTGTACAGGCTCAGTCTATTTGACAAACCTTGTAAAATTTAAAAAAGATTTGAAATAAGTCTAAATTGCTCTTTTTTTTCTTCTAGAATGTCTGCAGATTAAAATCTCTTTATGCTGGTTGTAGATTATGTAATAGCAAATGTAATAGAGATTTATTGACATTTTTTGGAAGATGGCATGTGATAAGAGGGTTTAATATATGGATTTGACTTGATTTATATCAGTAAAGCAATGTGATTGGAGACTAAAATTAGATTATGTTCAAGGAATATCTATACTATAATGTTATAATTCATATTATAATTCAGAAGCTCAAATAAGAGTGGAAATAGTATCTAAAATGGGCAGTTCAGAATGAACAAGTGTCACAAGGTACAGAGAAGTAAAGATTGACATTTATTAGAATTTTTCCTTTTGAAATTCAGAAATCATAACTCAAATTAAAATTTGATTTATTAACAAAGTTTTTATGCCAAGTTTATTGACATACATTGATAGTAAAGTAGTTTAATTAAAGTTTGAATGTAAAAGGTCATGATATGTACACTTTGAACCAGCTCTTAATATTTTTTTGAGGATATAAATTGTTATTTGGACAATGCAAGATGTGTAAAATTGGTGGACTTAGATTTTCAAAAGACTTTTGATAAGGTGCCACACATAAGATTAACTGAGAAAATCACACTGATAGAGGTTGGATTACAAGATGGTAAGAGAAACCAAAAAATATTATTAATAGGAGTCCAACTAAATTAGATCATTTTTAATAGTGGTGAGTATCAGGGATCATTACTTAGGCTTTTGTTGTTTTTTATATATAGGACATAATTAATAAATTTTTAAAGTTTACAGATGACAATAAATTCATGGGTATTTGTAGCTGTAATAAACCTTTAAAGCCTGTCATTTGGTATGATGCCTTCTTTGACCTTTTAATAAATATTAATAACTTATGTCACCAAATCTGAAACACATTTCAAACACTTAACATGATACTTATGATACCTTTTGAAATACGAATTTGATTTTTCTTCAACATACGATTTATAATACAATCAAAACCACTATCTAACATAGCTCTTTGCTACATCATTACACATGCTCGCATGTGACTAAACTGATAGGCAGGTTTGGTACACATAGCATATAGGCCTAATGACATTGTATGCTAGGCCACTTTTTTAGAAGAAATGGTGCAATAAAAAATTGTTTAAAGTATTAAATCTATCATCTAGTCTCTGTCTCACTTATAATACAATCAAAACCACTATCTAACATAGCTCTTTACTACATCATTACACATGCTCGCATAGGACTAAACTGATAGGTAGGTTTGGTACACATAGCATATAGGCCTAATGACATTGTATGCTAGGCCACTTTTTTAGAAGAAATGGTGCAATAAAAAATTGTTTAAAGTATTAAATCTAACATCTAGTATCTGTCTCACTCCATTTAATGATTAAAACTTACCTGTGGCTCCATTTCACTAACTTAGGTAACATGTTCAAAAATACTAAATGTCTTTTACTTTTGACAAAACTAGGGTCCTTGTAAACAGAAAATTAATTGCTGAGACAGTTGGTTCAGTGAAACAAATAAACTTGCAGGGAAACTCACTAAGTTAATTTATCACCTTTCTATGGCTTATGAATAACAGAATATCATACATAAATGAAAGTAGTTGCTAGCATTGATTGCTGGCCTCAAGTTACAAAACTAGAGTCCTTGTAAACAGAAAATTAATTGCTGAGACAGTTGATTCGGTGAAACAAATAAACTTGCAGGGAAACTCACTAAGTTAATTTATCACCTTTCTGTGGCTTATGAATAACAGAATATCATACATAAATGAAAGTAGTTGCTCGCAGGATCCCCTCTACAGTTTGCGTGTTCACTGCCGAGTTGTATGCTATTTCTCTTTCCCTGGATCATGTAGAAGCTATGTAGTACAGTAATTGTACTATTTACACTGATTCTCTTAGCTCTCTCTACTGGCCCTGGAATTACTTAACGTTAGTTCTCACCCTGTTCTCGTCGATATTCAATACCAACTGGCCCACTTTTCTTTATCTTCTGTTTCCATCCATCATCATTGGTGACACTGTCCGACTAGATTGTATTTTTAATTTTTTACTCAATATTGGTGTTTTTAATTGTATATAAGTCTTTTATCCAAATTTTGGACATATTTCGGTTTTAACTAGCTGTATTTTTATATTTTACTTTAATTTACTTTCACTTTTTACCGGTTGTTTGGCGCAGATAGCCTCATTGCTTTGCACCATCAAGCACCAAACAAACAACCTGAGGCACTTCATGGTGCTCCAGGGAAGGATGTTTTGGAGAGGTTTGTTCTCTTCTGTTCACTACATTGATCTATGCTACTTCTGTTGCTGTATCTCTCTTTGCGTGGTTCATCTGCTGTTGGGATAGGATGCTCTCCTACTGTACGTCTCCCTCACACTTATGTCTGTGAGCTTTGTTGGACTTCATTTCATTGCCTAGATTCTTACATGGTGTTCCTGACTCACTGGAGGCTCAGACTTTTGCAGCTGGACATCAGTTCTCATTTTTCTACTCTGGTTTCTCTTTTCACCTTCCCAACCTTTTTCTACTTCCTGTTTTCCCACAGCTCGATGTCAAGGTTATTGCTCATCTTGTCCGTGACTACCCTGTTATCAGATCTAACCCTGTGGAGGCTCATTCATCCTTCTTTGCCAGCATTTGGTCTCCATTTTTGCATGATGGATGGGTTATTCAGGTTCTCACATGCAGCTTATCTCATCATTTCTCCTCCTTCCATTCACCTTTATCTTCGGTGTCTTGAGGATGTGGTTTCAGATCTCTTGGCTGAGAATGCGTTTGAGAGCGTATTTACCCCTCCACCTGATTGTTACTCATATCTTTTTGTGGTCCCCAAGAACACTGGTAATGGCATCTTGTTATCAACTTGTCATATCTTTTAACAAAATTTGAGATTCACTGCTTTATTATATTAACAATCCATTTATTATTCTTCATCATACTCGTTTAAAATTATTTGTTTATTGTAGTCTTAACTTAAATCTGACCATGCAAGTTCTCTTTATACCATTCACAGTCAAATGAAAACCCTGAACATTGTGAAATTAATCATCTTAGCTATGGCATGAATGTTTCTTAATTTTTATTTAAAAACATTTTTTGCAAGTAAACAATAGGAAAATTGTTAGCATTTTAAATTATAGAAACCTATTTTCATGAAGTGATTTTAGTGTTAAGTTCTATGAATTATTCGTTTCTGTGATTTACAAAAACAATTTTAGTTACAATTTTTAGTTACATGTAAGTGATGTTTGAAATATAATAAAAATTATTTTTAAAGTATTTAAATACTATAAATGGATTAAAAACACTTGTGGATACTTGTGTCAACATCAGATAGTTTTTGTTATATCTAATAGATAATGATAATAGTAGTTTATTTCACTTTACAGCAGCTAATGAACAGTATTATTTTAATTAACTTGTATTATGTAAGTCTTCTAAAATGCTTTTGTGGCAAACGTACAGTTATAATAGATTGATACAATTTAACACATTTAATTTGAATCATGTAAATAAAATCCAATGTGCAAAACTTAATGTATACATTTTATATGTGTATACTTTTGATGTTACTGAAAAGTTTTGATAAACAAATAGAAAGATGTCAAACAAGAAAACAAAAGGATAAAAACAAACATAGATGAATTTGTTCCATTCTTTATGTTAATATAAATCTGTTTCACTTTTGTAATTAAAGATTTGGATTTAATTCAGAAGCACTTATAACATTGCTGTTATTTCTGTTAAAAGAAGGTACATATAAATGACATTTTTTAAATTAGTAATCTTACAAATATATTGTCCTCGACATTCAGTAACTTAATTGTTGTTTAATTGCAAACTTTTATTTTGGTATATTGCTGTATTAATAGTAATCTTTAATTGCTAAATTTATCTTGAATAAAAAAAAATTCAGTGCAACTAGGATTTAATTTCAAAATTTTAATTTTAATTGGTGTTGCTTTAGGAATGGTAAGTTATGCAGGGTTTCCATAAATTATTGAACCATTTTATTACTTATAGTGCAGATTGACAATAATAAGAGAAATGACTGTTATGGAGGCTAACACCTCAGGTTTGTCCATGGCCAATGAATAGGTTATGTATTCCTTGAAATGGCCATTGTTCATGATTCAAGGGGCTTTCAAGTAATAATTATCACAGTTGTGTTGGTTATTTAGACATGCAGTGTTGCCATATCTGGCAACTTCATGTTATAGACAATGTCCTTCACACTTTTATATTTATAACAGTGAAAAAATACATCAGTTTCCTATATACTGTAAATCACAACTGCTTATCTGTATGGTTCCTAATCTATTCAGTTAAGAAAGAGGTTCAGTGATATATATAATCTCTTTATCACATTATGAATACTATATATGTAAATAATATTATTATCATAATTAATTTATAAGTAAGTTAAATGTCTAAAAGTATACATGAAGAGTATGTCAAGATTCTTCTTAATCATTTCTCAACCCGCTTTATTATGATTAAATACTGGTATATCAGTATTATAATTAAGGAGAAAAAGTGGAACTAGGCTAGTATAATAAAAAATGCCATTTCATAGTGATAATTTATTACAGTGTAGTGACACACAGAAGTTATGCTCAGATTTGTGGTGATAATAATATTTATTTTTACTCCTCTAGTGACAAGAGAAGCTGTTTCCCCAAAAAAAGAATCTTCATTTACAGTCTTTGATTTTAGAATAAAAAATGAGAAGTGTGATGAAGCACCAAAGGAAAATGAGGTAAAGTGTACATTAAAAACTTGTATAATTCTCTTAATTTGGTAAATTAGATATTTCTGTAGAATATTTATTCAGTGTGATATATAAACATACTATGTGTTTTCTACCTCCTTGTATTAATATGTATCAAAATGTGTTATATGTGCAATTATATGGAATTTTTGCTTAACACTTTCATCATGAAGATTCTTTTAATCAGGCTACCTATCATTTTGTGCCATTTATTTAGAGTAGTACCTTTTGTCTTTCTATGGTAAAGATAGCTGCAAGTTTGTGTGTAGTATATAGAGTTGGACAGTTATCTTTTGTACTGACATTTGGGTGATCTGTTGAGATTATGAACTCTCTTATGTTTCACTGGGAATGACCAGTCATGCTAGTCATTTCGGGTTAATCAGAAGTTAACGAGTTGAGCAAGTAATGTGAGATTTACTAATTCTGGAACACAATCTAAACAGAGTCAGTCTGTAACAAGATCTCAAAAATAGTAAGTTAGAGATAACTTCAAACCTAACTATTTTTGAATAAAGATTGTTTATTGTGATTGTAGATTTGTCTTCAGTCTCACTTTATTTTTCCCACACTCAGTTAGTCAGAGAATGCAAAATAGTTTTACAGTAAATGTCTTGATTAATCTCCTGGGACTTATGTTGTTGCTCTTAGGATTAATCAATGCTATCTGAAAATACCACAGAGTAGTGAGGAAGAAGAAAATTTTGGTCCAGAATTCTTTTATGTTTTGTCTTATGTGTGTATTACCCTTTACTTAAGTTTTTGAATATTTCAGTTTAAATAAAATTTCAGGTGAGGAAAATGGCATTTTTCACAGCTTGAAGGAGTTACAACCAAAAGAAAGGGAAATGGTTTAACAAGAGAACAGTTGGGTTTAGGAAAATCCACTACTGGGTGCATGATTTTTACCAATTCTGTGAAGATCCATGACTTTTTTTCTTGCTGTAGCTGATGATTTGGAAAGGGGAAATACTGATAACTTGCATACCCAAATCAATTGATTGAGTTCTTCCCCTGAGGACTGACCTTAGTGCAAGAGAGGCACACATGACAGAGAGTCATTACAGTGGTGTGGTACTTACCAAGTGTGAGACTGAATTAGTTGGACTATATAGGACTTCTAGACCTTTGCCAATCAGATTAAACTCACCCCAGTTCTAGTCAAAGCTACTAGAAAGTAGTTGAGAAAGACTGGAAGTGCAATTGGTAGATTGATGTCTGCTATCTCACCAGTAAGTGAGATGGTGGACACCTAATGGTGAGGAATGTGATTCGTGGGCAGTAAAGAGCCTCTCCAAGCCAGGAGTTATTCTGCCAGGGTGGTCGTGGATTATGGGTAAACCTATGGTTATATTAGACCAAGGGACAAGATGTCAAGAGCAACTCATCCTGCTGCCATGGATCATAAACTGACTACTCGTCAAAGGATTGGGATCCCTAAGGGTGCTTACCATGCAGAAAATTGATACTAATTCTGATTTATGTCTCAATTCTCAAACAATTATACCTATGATTGTTTGAGAATTGAGACATAAATCAGAATTAGTATCAATTTTCTGCATGGTAAGCACCC